ACATTCTAATTTATTGAGATGCACCTGTAGATTTAAATCCAAAAAGAATATCAAAATATGGGCACACTTTTTGTTACTGATGAAAGACTAGAAACACCCCTGGTTATATTTAGAAATGCATCTTGAATAAAACTTTGTATTATGAATGCAACAAAAAATCTGAAAATGTCACACCAACCGAACCACTGATTCCATTGATGAATTCCAAAGGGCTGAAATGTTAATGTACTTCAGCATTCAAAGAAAATGAAAAAGAAAACGCATATTTGTACAGGCACTCAGAAAAAAACACCTGCACCATATCAAACCACCTGTCTTGCTTACAGAGAGCTCTATTATACTGTGCATCCTCCCTGGAGAACATTCATCTCCATTCTACAGGACAGCACACAGATCCATTAACTGCCCCGTTTCCAAGAAGGGTCCCCCAGTTCAGTTCACAGATGGCGCTTGTGCCTCCACATTTACTTCATATGGAGGTTTTGCGGTGCAGCTGCCAAGGAAATGGGCGCACAAGTGCACAACCAAATGCACCAGAGGAAAGTTGAGTGCTTGCTAATTTTTGACAGCGAGAACGCCTGAGATCATTTCAAAGCCTTCTCCTAGTGACGAAATTCACATACACCTGCATTTACCAGCTGGTGCAGGAGACGTAATGGCTAATTCAAAAACTAAAAGACATTGTGAAACAAAGAAAAAGCCAAAATATCCAACACAGAGAGATGAGCTGACACCCTTTTTTGAGAGAAGATTGTGTTTTAAATTAGACATGTGTCCAAAAATATCTGAAGTCATTTTGACTTGCTCTCAAACCCACATTGACAAATGAGAATTTAACACTCCAACATTTCTCTTTTCTTAGAAACTGCAAATGGCATTCTCTAAGTTCAACCTCAGATAGCAACCTTGACATCAGAAGCTGCAATTTCTGTTTTCCATCAGTGCTGGGGTTCAGAGTGGCTAAAACACACGGATGCAGCTGATAGAGGAAGATCATTAGCTGCCCCAGGTGGGAAAAAATGATACTTTTTCTGGCTATTACATTTAACAGTGATACTTTACGCAAGGTCATACAGAATGTAACAGTTTTCTCAGCAAAAAGTATTTTTCCATTCATTTTCTTAAAAAAAGTCTTCATTAAAGCACTATAAGCCATGAACCAAACCAACAAACTTTGATTTGAAGCAAAAAAGTATGTGAAAATCAAACAAAAAGACAAAGGTA